GTGTGGCTGGTTAGGAAAGGTGTGTACCATATTCGAACAGTTTGCAGTTTGGACTGGGTTGGACCACTCAGGATTTTCAAAATCTCCTCCACTGCCCAGATTTTTGTAGGAAGCATTCAGGACAGATTTCTAGAAGGCATCCACATTTGAAGCCAGATTTGCGAGAGATCTTTCTTTTTAAAGATCTTAAGGAAGGACATATTCAGAGGATCTGCACATTGAATACCAAGAGCTTCTGAAAATGTGGACTCCATTATGGATGCTGAGACTTTGTCAGCAAGATCCACAAGCTTCCCCCTCACCCCCAAAAAACCCAAACAGTCCTGTTTTCCTTGCTCAAAGCTGGTAGCAAAGATGGGAGCAGAATCAGAGCCTTCAAACTCTAGTCCAGAGACAGCACCTAAGATTTTTCCCACTAACATACCTGTCACGCCACTGAAATGAAGGGAATTATCTATGTGCAAACACATTGCAGTCATGTCCATCAGTACTAATTGCAGTTAAGACCACCTAAGGGCCAATTAGTAATTATTTCTTCACTTATTCTGTTACATTACTGTCAAACATTTTTTAAAACAATGCTGAAGATCAAGACTGCAAAGCTTTTTTCTTCTTACCATTTCATATTCATTTCCTTTCAAAAAATTCTCAGCAGTCAACAAGCATTAGATATACACATTTTTCAAACTGACAAGGTAGACCAGCTTTAGAAACCAGCTAAAAGTGGGGCAATAAATTCTTAGGACTTTCTTTTTTTAGGAATACTTTATTTAAGCATTTAGAAACATTTCCACAGCTTCCTAGTCATATTTAAAAACATGATGCAAAAAAAAAATTAAGTTTAAACTTAATCAGACAAGAGTATTAATTTATATACACACACACATGCTAGCTTTCTTGCTCCATTTTTCTGAAAATATATGAGGAAGCAAATAGAAGACTGACCCACTTACAGATGCACTATGAGACTGCCATTGGCTATTAAAGTAAAAATCGTTACATTGAACAGTAGACCAAGTAGACAAAACCATAGAAGGAGCTATGTCATTATAAACACAATCACCAATTGAAAATATCATTTAAATCAGTTGAATACACAGCAATTTTAACAATCAAATGAAACCAATAGGATACATTACAGCCCTAGAACTTATTTGTAACAACTCATAATTTATTTGTGAACACAACTCTCTTGCACAACTTGTCCTGTAGTTGACTGCGGTATAGTAGCACATAGTGGTTATGCTATCTAGATTCTTGAAAAGATATGGCGACAATAATGCGGAAAGTGTATACTGTAGGTGTCTGATTTAGAGGCACAGACAAGGAGCCAGAGTCTTGCTTTTCTTCTGTAGCCTGGAAAGTATGCCAGACACAGCCAGTGAATTCTCAGGGCAATGTGGGGTTTCATTGACACGTGTAGCGAAGCTCATTCCAGTTTGTAGCTGTTATTAAATTCCACCTGCCCTGTCCAATCCATTTACAGTTGTCAGAGGAGCAAATTTTACAGTCTGAACAAACAGTTTGAAGCCTGCAAATGCCTGAGTTTTCCAGTTAAAATAAACAGCTCTAACAAGACATACTTGGACAATTTGGCTTGTGCATAAGAACGTGCACAATGACTGGCTTTACCCTTTTGGATGATGCCAGTTGTGAAAGTGTAAATTCTGCCCAGTATCTGTAGAACCTCACCATGGAGACAAACTGGGACCGTAACATTCTTTGTGGTTACTATCTTGCCAAATCTATTTTTCCATTTGAACCATTCGCTGAGCACTACATACAAGAGTTGTTTTCAAGTCGCAGCGTACAGCTTCTGTTAGTAGCAGGAAACAGAGCAAATCAAATCTTTCTGCCGTATGTTTCCCAACAAGAGCGATTTGTTTCATGTCAGTCATTCCCTCGGCTCAGCCTCAAGCTCTCATTCCCTGTCCTCTTTTTTCTTTATGTTTCACATCCTTTACTCTGAAGAGATAATCATTACAAACTATGAGTGCTATAATTATTATTTGCTATAATTAGCAAATGAAATGAGAGACGGACACTTTTCAGAGGGTCACAATAGCACTGTCACACAAGTGACAATTATGTTCAAGGCCTTAATCCTAGAAATATATTAACATTTGGTAGATGGTGGAGAGGAAGTGGAACGTAGATGGTGATAATGAATCCACTAATTAAGCAAGTGGGGTTTCAAAAATAATTCTCACCTAGACACAGTTTGGTTGGCTAAGGGCTATAAACAGCGAAATAAAACCAACTGGATCAACTTCATAAGCCATGGATGGCACCGTGTCAGTCAACTACAATGCTGCAAAGCAGGTTAAGGCACTTTTCTCCTGAAAGCAGGAAAGCAGAAAAACATGATATGGGCAACATTTATGTTATGTTATTCACTCTGCTTTCAATCGAGTGTTTCTACTGCAGCAGCAACTCGTCTGTCCATTGTTGCCAGTTGCTGTACAAATGCATCATGTGCACAGACCCTAACTGTTCAGAGGGGCTTGTTATTACAGAAAGCAGCTTGCTATACCTCTCAGTGTTTGATTATTCAATGAAAATCCAACAATCCTGTCTTTGCATCAAATAGGACCTATTTAATAGGTAAACATAGGATTGCATGAGGTATGACTGCATAATCTGGTAAATTGGTGGATCATCTTTGTTCTACATAATACACCACTTAGAATGTAGTCCAATTTATTTTTAATGCATATTGATTGGTATATGGTTTCATAATTGAACTAGTTTGATATGGAAAAGGAATTTCAAAGATTAGCATGGTTTGCTGCTGTTTTACATATCAGTTTTGTGCTTTTGGAATCAGCAGGAGAGGTACAAAAAAACCCATTGAGCTGTTTATCTTCATGGACATTTTTAGCAGACTGGATTCATATGCCCGCATAAAGGCTCAAGCAACTAGGAAAGGAAGCAACTGGTCTGTAGGTAAGCATATTATGAACAGAGACTTCTGTGGAAGGGAGTACAAATAATGCTATATATCGCTACTGCAAAATGCAATCCAGAAAGAGCCATGCTCACATCTTATAAACCTGCATTCGTAAAATAGTTAGTTATTGTTTAATTCAAAATATCGCTCTTAGCTAATCAGAGGTGGGTGGACTATTACTGAATTATTGGAGACACAGATTAAGCCTGTGCTTATTCAGTAAGTCTTATATGCAGAAGATGCCTACTGTGATATCATAATTAATGGTAATGCTTTTATGCAAAAGAGGATTAGGGTCCATTTACCAACTTAGTGGTTCTAAAATATTTCAACGAGCAAACAGCTTCATGATCCACTACCTGGAGACAGAGTTAGGAGATCAGATATGATTTAATTAACAGGATTGCCAGCCACACTAGATTTGAATGAAAGACGTGGCTGTTGGAGAGTATACACACAGTAATATGTAGAATGGCCAAGACGGACCTTTGGTTTTTTTAGGTTACTTGCTATTTTTGACAACTGAGTCTGTCTGCATTCATTTCCGCAGGTGTTGGAAGGCTAGGCTTTTGTTTTGGTTTGCTTTGGATGTTTTTTTCCTGGCAATTCAAACATCAGGCTAAATGTTGAAAATATAGTGTGACACTAATTAATGCAGTTATGCTGAAGGTACACCCAGGCAAAAGAAAATATAATTTAACCTGTAACAACAACATTTCTAACTGTATATTAAAGCCCTGATTCTGCACACCCTTACTTAGAAAAAAATGATCTCCGTTATTATGATAGTGTATTCTAGCATATGCCAAACCAGATTTTCACATGGGAGGTAAGGGTAATAGTAAGAGAAGCATAGAAAGCTTCTTTCACTGGCTCATTTGTGTCTGGATTCTGATTTTTATCCCAGTTTCAATTGTGGAAAAGTTTTCAAGAGCCAAATTCTCCAGCCTTTTAAGCCACCTGTGTTTTCCTCTGCTTCAGCCCCTGACAGATTGGGGCAGCTTTGGGCCAGTTCTAGGTTGTGCCTTAGCTGCCCTATGGCTCTAAAAGGCCATTCGAATAGCCAGAGTCCAGTGGCACTCTTGCCGTGCTGCTTTCCTAGATCACAGGCTGCAGAGGGGGGAAGGTGCAAGGGGGTAAAGGGGTTATCGAGAATCACTGTGCTGTTGCATGCAAAGTGGCTGACTTTCCTCCAGGTTGAGCCCTTTATGTTGGCTCAAAGGGCCTGTATCCAAATGGAAAGGCACAGGCATAAACATGGGTGTCAGCAAGGTCAGCTCGACTCTGAATGGAACAAATTGCCAGTATAATTTTGATTTCTCTGCTGCACAGGATGCTTGAAAATAGTTTTTCTTCCCACAGTTACATTAAGAGATTCCCAAGTCCTCCTACTTGAAGACACGAGCCTTCTGTACACAGCTTCTCTGACATTTACACACATTACCGACATCCACATTCTTCTGAAACAAACAAAACAGGGACAATTTGTTCTGCCTCGCATTTAATTTGAGCATCTCATTTGAAAGGGGGTGGGGTGGGGGGAAGGGCACCTTTACATATATACGTTTTTTTCTTTAAAACTTTACATTGCTCCAGCTGGGATGTTTAGATGGATGTATCGGACCAAGAAGGGACTGCGGTGCCTGGGCTCCATAGACATTGGATGGGGAGGTCAGACAGAAGTTACCACGTGGTGCCTCTTCCCCCCCACAATTGACAATGTACAATCTGCTCTGGAAAGGAAGTGCTTAAGCCTGTTCTTTCAGGAGAAACACATACACATGCACTGCAGAGGAGGGCAGGGATTACTCTTTTCTTTCATAGAAGATAGAGGTGGGGAGGTGGTGCCCTTTCGTCATAGGATACTGTTGATAAAATATTCATGCAGTATATGAAAGACTCTTGTCTGGGATTCAAACCTACACAGCCCACCTTCCAGCTCTCTCCCTCACTGGCCTCATAAACCCTTAACTCTTTTCTGTGATTGAAGGAATCGCAGAGCGACTGTAGTTGGACGTTCTCCAAGAGGAGGTAGACCGAGAAAGTTTGGTTCACCACTTGGACTAACCGGGGTCTCTAGTTGCTGTGTTACTCTGTCCTATGAAGACTAAGGTGTCTCTTAGCTTTCAGCACAGAAGAACAACTTTGGGTACCTGGTAAATCTTTCTGTCAAACCTCAGGCTCCCAAGGGTTTGAGGTACCGCTGGAGCCAAGCAGCAGTTAGATAGAAGGGTTCAAGATTGCGATTTTGCACTTAAGTGTCTACTTTACATCTTAGACAAATAAGTCCCTTTTTGGATCAGGTCTTTGCATTTACTTCAAGGAGAATATCATGGAAAAAAAAATAAGCAGCCATCTCTGAGCAAAATAAGACTCCCCCAGGGTGAGAGAAAGAACCCAAAGCTGTATTATATATAGTGTCTGTTAATTTAGTGGCATTTCAGGTTCACTGCATTAATTTATGCATTACCTAGATATGTACTGTTTACATGCACAACACACACTCACTCGCATCTCTTGAGAGGCAATTTGGCTATAATGCAACAAGTTTTGCACACAAATTGAAAATGCTTTCTTATTATGAAATGCTATTTACTTTATCAAAATAATGTTTCCCCACAGGATTCAGGCCACATTAACCCCTTCTTGCATTGTGTAAGGTTTTTTGCCCTTCTTAATCTGTTAGGGTATAACATTACATTTTTTTTAGTTAAAAAAAAGGATTTATAAAGTCCACGTAAGTTCAGCATCAATAATTCATGATACTATAATAAGTCAGTCAATAAAGCTGCAGTAGAACTAAGCCATGGGTTTTATTTTTCATTCACACTTGCTAACATTCAAAGCACATTGACTACTTGTATCCAAAGCTATTCAAACAGGGCTTAATAATTCTTAGCATAACTTGGAGTTGACACATCTGTTGATTTATAGCGTTCTACTGAGTTCACAGAAGTAACTGATACCCCCAAATAGTCAAAATATCCATGATACAATCAGAGATGAGTCATATTGACAAAATGGCCACAGGCAATCCCAGGAATATGCATTGTGTAGCTACCAAACAGACAATACATTTTCATCACTCCCAAGACTTATCACAACCTCAGAATTGTTGATGCTGTTGTTTTAGTCCTGGAGGTAGGATTTAATTTATTTATTTTAATGTCCTATGATGTCCAGGAATACTAATTAAAATCATGTTAGATAAGTTATTATCATCCATAAGAGATTTCCCTTTGAATTTTAACGTATACCTCCAAACAGACTCATGTTTAGAAAAATCCATTCAAAAACTACCCCTACCCAGAGATGTTGGCTTCTGTTGATTCACTCAAATTGACAGATCTTTTCCATGGCAGAAGTGAAGCTGAGTTCAAAGTCAAACTAATGTACTATACATATGGGTTTTGACTTGCAAACAGCGTATGTGTTCAAATATGCAGCTGAAGAAGTGCAAAGTTGAGAACTGGATGTGTGTGTCTAACTTGCAAAGTTGTAAGTTAATTAGCAATTAAAATTGGATTCATTTTTATATGTAGTACTATGACTGCAGTTTTGCCCATATTCAGAGTGCACCTAATCTCTCCAAAGGAGAGAGACAAGCATTTTACACATTTCAAAGAGCGGTATTTTTGCAAACTAGATGCCACTTCTTTTTAGAAAGTAATTAAGGTATGTAGAAACTAAGCAAATATAGGCATACACATGTCAGTGATTTGGCTATTCTCTGTCTATTGAAAGAGTCAGATGAATGTGAGGAAGTGGTAACATGACAGATTGTTGGTTGTAATCCAGCACAGGGTGGTGGTGTAAAAATTTGGGGGCCATTCAGTGGCCCATCTGATGCAAATTCAGCTGACGATTTCAATCCAGTATTTGGTGAATAGATAGCCATAGCCTGAGAACCGCAAATGAAAGGGGTTCTTTTTTTCTATTTTCTTGTGGAAATATTAAAGCACTACGGGAAAAGCTGGCATCACAGCACATCTGGCACAGTATGGCAGACTCTTCTTGTAAGAACATATGTTTCCAGACCAAAAATATGGTGTTTGAGATTCACATTTTAAATGCCTTTCCTGCCTTTGAGACCAGTGTGCTACTAACCAGAGGAAACATTGCCTCTTCCTGCAGATCCACCAGCTGCAAAAGGCTTTGCAGGTGGATACAAAGTGAAGATCATATGAGCCTATGGGTGTGCTGCTATATATTCAGAATTGCCAGGAACATTTGTATTGAGCCAAATTTCAAACAGATAGTTAGATTAGTCAGTGTTGTACAACTCTGCTATTAGTTTAGATATGCAAGACTCTTAGAGGATAACTGAAACAATCGTCTTGCCACCTAGTCACTGAGGAAAACCAGTACACCAAATCATTCCAAAAAGTGATGCCAGTGAGGAGAAACCTGCTCACTTCCAGAGCTTATCTGAGTTGTACCCAGTTCTTAATCCCTTCCGTTAATCCAGTTCTTTGAAGCTATTGATTTAGTACAATTTATCAGGATTCTATGAATACATGGATTTCATAAAGCTAATTAGTGATCAGCTTTGTATGCCTAAATGTTAATTTTGAGAGATATTGCTTCAGAAAAGAATGCAGCAAGATCTTTCAGTTGGAGGTATGGGTGAGGACTTCTTGGGTTCAAATAGCTCACCTGTTCTTACTATGAGGTTTAACCCAATGTGGATAAGCTACAGAAACTGCTTATGTCAGTGGTTTAGGTTCTGTCCCTTCCTAGTAAGTCCAAAGACCTCTTTCCCCTTCTTCCCTCCCTCCCCTGCATATATATGAATTTGCTTTTTGTTCCCCCCGAAAAGAGTCATTTTTCCCCTTCAAACCTGTTCAATTTAAGGGGGTTTCTAGTTGCCTGCTAGTGAACAGGCACGGGTCTATTCTGAACTTAATTCTTGTTTGAATCTAGGAGAACAGACTTTGGTTTTTTGCATTACTTGGTGTTTAGGGATGCTTGCTTTTGCTGCAAGTTGTACATAGAATCTTTCCTTTATCCAGGCTGAAAGATTTGCCAGCCAGCAGCGTCTCACACTCCAGGCAGGTAAAGTGTTTCTTGTGCCAAGTCAGCCCGTTCTCTTGCTGGTAGTCCTCGGAGAATATTATCTGCAATGCAAAAAGATATCTGTTTATTTCTGTTTCAGGCAGGATGGATGAGCATTGCAACCCCTTCATTATGTGAACAAAGAGCAGCGAGAAAAAAATTCAGAATATTTGCTGACAAAGCACATACATAAAGCCAAGAAGCCATACTATGCCATGACATTAACCAATGTCTATTAAGAATATTAGATGCTCATTAGGGTTGTGTGAAATGGACCATATTTGATTTGGATTCAGATTCAGTGTGAATCGGGGACAGTGATTCGATTAGTTGATTCGGATCCCTGTCCTGATTCAATTCAGCCGAATCTGAATCTGAAGATTTAATGCTGATTCAGAGAATCAGCAATTCTGCCATAGACACATCTTTAAATGTTTTTTCTACATATCTCAAGGTACCAGGCATTGCTTATGAATGCTGAGATGGTGGCGCAGATGGAGTGTCCCACAGGGAGTGCGGGGGGCCCCCTGCGTGCTCTGCAGTGGACCTGAAAGTGGACCGGAAGTACTTCCGATCCACTTCTGGGTCTGCTGCTCAGTGCGCCCTGGCTCAGTGATCGGCCACAGAGGGTCCGCGGGTGCCCCCCCCGGGCCCCGGAAGCACCAGTCGCTGAGCCAGGGAGCGGGGCGGGTGGGGGGTGGGGGGGTTCTCCCCTTCTGGTCCACTTCCAGGGCCACTGCCGAGTGCACTGGGGACCGCCCCAGCATCGCAGCATTTACGAGCCACCTGGTACCTTGAGGTACGTAGAAAAAATACTTAAAGCTGTGTCTATGTCCGATCATTGAATCTCTCCAAATTGATTCGGAGTGTTCCGATTTGATTTGGAGAGATTAACGGGTCTTCTGATTTGATTCAGAGTTGTAGATTTGGCCACTGAATTGGGTCAAATCCTCTCCAAATCGAATCAGCAACTGAAGTTTCACACAGCCCTAATGCTCGTGGTCTTGGCCAGAAGCAGAACTTGAGGTGTTGGATGTTGGAACTGAGGCATGGAAGGACTTTAGAAGCTCCTTGGATGAGGCAGCAGCCAAGTGGGATTTAATGGATCAAAATATTCCATGTGGGCACCTACATCCTTTTGTAAGCCTAGGTCCCTGATTCCTACAGGCAACAATGCCACATCTACCTGCTTTAGTTACATAGCTCTTCTACCGCAAAACTCATTCTTTAGTGCAGATCTGAATGGCTTCAACATCCAGGTGGAGCACAGAAAACAGGCAATCTGAAATCAGAGCTTTACTCTGAAGACTTTTAACCCTTAGCCTCTTTTCAGGAGATATAGGAGACTACAATTATAAAGTTAACCTTCAATACAAGGGACTACATAGCCCTGAGTACATTAAAGTGCTGAAGGCATTTTAAAACATTATATTTTCAATAATCAGTTTGCTATGTTTTTGTCAGAGCTTCTGAACAGTTATATGGCTATGGAGTGGGCTCTTGGGCATGAACCATTTCATATTTAAAACAAAATCTTTGGATCAGAACTTGAATCCATCCCTTTGTGAAGCAATTTAGGCCCAATATGACAAAGCCTAGCAAAATCATGCCTTTGTTGGCATGAAGTCTAATAGTCAGCTCTCATCACCTCTCCACCACTGAACCTGAACACTAGACTTATTCAGCATTACACTGCTAACTCAATAGCCAACTTGCTTGTCTTATGTGTTTCCAGCACCAATGGAAAGCAGAAAACAAGTTGGAATTTACACCATTTGGTAGACAGATGGTGGGTAAGGTTCCATAGTCTCAATCAGGAAACTCCAGAGAAGAACAGGATGCCTATGTGAACCAAGGGTTCCCTGGTAGATGGAGTTGGAGGAAGATGGTTACGGATAAGTAGTAAACTACGATGCTCTATTTGTGCCTAGCAAAGGGCAGCAACTAGCAGAATGGACTTATGTCCTTAACCATTCTAGGCCTTACCTCATCACAGGCTGCACAACGTGGCCTTATGCTCTCACAGTAGTGACGTCCGCACCACACTGCACCATTTTTCCAGAAGTAGATCAGGTCAACCAGAGGGTCTGAGCACTTGCAGCACACGAAACATGCTGGGTGCCATTGGTGGCTGTAGCCTGCTCTGTCAGCATACACCACAGGGCAATTTGTAGGCATCACCTGTTTGCAGATTTCACAGCACTAGAATGGAGAATAAATTAAGTGTATTTGGGAAGAGGGGAGGGAAATATTCAGCTAATTTATAATCAAAGATATGACCTCCACTGAATGGGGACACTTCGTGGTCATCATGTGTCTATCAAAACTGTTGTCAAAACAAGGAACATTAATGATTGAAGATATTTAGCATGTTTTAAACAAAATCTAGATATATGGCTTCTCATGAATTCTCCATTCTTATTTAGTCTAGAGGAGTAAATAGTCAAGTAAATGGTCTAGAGGAGAGTTGTTAGAAAGTTACACAGATAATGTAGCAGTAGGGTAAATAACACATTCTCATGTAAAACATTTAGTTCTAGCATTGCATTATCTGTATGATTTAGATTATTTTTGCCACATCTGAGAAATCTGATGGAAGAAATGAACAGAAGAGCAACAGTCAATCTTTGCATTCTGTCTGAAAGAGGAAGTAAGCAAGGAGCAAGAGATGCTATGTTTAATGAGCAGTTCTTCACACTTAGGCCAGTCTAAAAGAAGTTCAGGGGCTTGTAAACCTCAGAAGCCTTCTGCTGGCAGACAGAAGCCACCACAGGGAAGCTCAAGTCTTTGGAGCTGCAATGCATGCATACAGAGTGCATATATATCTGTGGGTCTTCTCGTGGCTTCATTACAGCATCTATGCCAGCAAGATGTATAGCACCATGGGAGACCCTAGCTATTAGTGCGGATATGGCATCCAGCAGAAAGTACATGTGCATCTACACATGTTTTTAGTCAACTGCTGGCAGAAACCTTCTGGTGTTGTTGTGCTAGCAGAAAGGGTGTTTGATACCATGGGGAGTTGCAAGTTTGAGGACACTCTAATTTTTGCCAGCACCACCTAACTTCTCCTGGCTAAACTATAATGTAGACCAGACCCAGATCATGTACCATTGTAGCTAATGTATCATGTACATGGTACTATTGTAGCTAATGAAAGTAGGTATAATTGTAATCTCCTTGAAGCCTGTTGGCCACCTAGAGTTCTCATGCTATTCTCAGGGTGAAATGGATATCACTCCATCATTTCTTTAATGCCCATTGGTTTAAGACTGAGTAGTTCCACAGATTTTAATGTTACCCTTAATTTATACCTGGGTTAAAGAAAAACGAATCAGACTCCAGGTGTCCAAAGACTGAGGGCTTATATTACAAAAGGGACCAGTTGGGTTTATCCCTTACTGTAGCCCATAATGCAAAATCCTGCAGATGTTTTAAAATATATTTAAACACCTCTTTCTCTTAAGTTGATAAACGGACTTAGCGGCTTCCAGGTTGCCTTTTATGCTCCCGTTTTACAGTTTTGGATAGTTGGAATCAGCCTTATAGCTGCTGAGTCTGCACTTTGTCAGCGTTTTTGTTTCTAAGTCATCAAAATAAGTGTTTGAGTAGCAGCTGGAGTCTCTTCCAGAAAAGCTTTTGGCTGCAAGGCTAGACTTTTACCAGTAGTCTTTGAAGAACTCTCGTTAAAGTTTTATCAAAACAAGATGTACTGTTTAAGCAACTTGTGTGTCTCATGGGTTGCAATTTAAAATTACTCTGCCAGATTAATCCTCTTGCTAACGATTTCAACAAGTTTGGAATTGCAGGCATTCTCAATGGCCCAGAAACTAGGAAGGTAATTCAGTCTTTTCCATGCACGTTGTAAACAAATAGCAATTTCATTTGTGTTTTGAATTCAGGTTAACATGTAGAGGAAAAACCATGCAAGGGGGAAAAAATCCCATAATTTTCCTCTGTAGAGTTTAAACAATAACCGATTAGCCATCTCCCTGTTCCCCAGTTCTGAGCCTTCCTAGAGGAGTTCTGTATATGCACTATTAGAAACACAGCTGTGGTGCATTAGGGTTCAGATGTTTTGCTATGCCTCCAGCCCCTCTTTTACCAGCAAGAAGACACAGAAAGGAAGACACATCCATGCATCTTAACAGGTAGGCCTGGCCTAGCCTCCCATGGAGGAATGGAAAGAGGGAATTAGAAGGCTCCAGGGCTGAATTTGCATAACCCCCTCATCCAGAATAGTTCCAAAGTGTTTCTAAGGGATGCACAAGCACTAGTTGGAGACTGTGTGTAGTAGTAGAGTGGTTACTGCATCTTATTACAGCTCCAAATATCATCTACTCCAGTCTCTTGCTCAGGGTAGGATTGTCCCTGACTAAATCATTCCACACACGTGTCTGTCCAAACTGCTTCTGAAAATTTCCAGGGTTGGAGATTCCAGAACTTCTCTAGGTAGCCTGTTGCAAAGTTTAGCACCCTCATAGTTAGAAAGTTCCTCCTAATCTCCAACCTAAAATTTCTTCTGTTGCAGCTTGAGGCCATTGTTCCTAGTCCTGTCTCCTATGACCACAGAGAAAAGCCTATCTCCATAGACAGCCTGCCCTTCAGGTATTTGAAGACTTGTTATCAAATCCTTCCCTCAAGTGCTTTCTTTTCCAGAGTAAATAACCCTACCTTTTGAGAGATCTGAGTGTTAAAAAAGATCATTAATACTAGAAACTCTGAGTTAAAACTCACATTTCTTGTCAAGAAGAATACTGAACTCTTATTTCCCTGTTCCTTCATATGGCAATTATTCACAGTCTTTGCTAGGTATCAGAGACATTGTGCTATTTATATTCCCACTTATTATTCCTTGTGGCAAACCTCACCATTTTTAACATTTTAGTGGGACTTTTAATATTGCACTTATCTCCATTTCTCTGGGTATGAGCAAAGGACTTTGCTAGCTGCCACCTGGTATATGCGAATATTAACAAAGAGCCCCTATCCTTTTTCTCATTTGAAGGAAAGGATTTCCAATAAGTAGTAGTAATTCTTACAGCTCTTTTATAACTGAAGTTTCTACAGTTGAAGATGTTTTTAATGTGCTTCCATTGAATATGTATGAGTCCGCTGGCCTCAAACTTCAGAGCTGTAGTTAATTTTGATTGATGGCTCTTTGGTTTGCTTGATTCCAACACTCTGGCTGCAATACTGGAAGGTTTTCTGACACTGGGTGGGTCAGTTAGACTCCGTTTTGTACCTGGCAGAGAATCAGTTTGGCTAATAAGAGACCTGTTATAGCTATGGAATTTTTCTCCATGGCACAAATGTGTGACCGATTGTTTGAGATCAGGTCCCTTTCTTAAGGAGATTTACATTGGCCAAAATGTTTTGTTGTATCAGCACAAGCACTTAAATATGCAATTAGCATGTTTAACCTTACTTCATTGGGGCAACACAAATAGGGCTCTCAGATGTCTTTTATGTAACATTTGGACCATATACAGGCATTATGTTTCTACTGGGAGAATCACAGGTCCCAGAAGAGAGCATGAGTGTTCAGGTATTCATACATTTTCTTCCAGAATAAAAAAAAGGCTGTGCTGGGAGAATAATTCACTCATTTCCAGACACGTAGAAGTCTCTCCTGGGAGAGAGTTTTCCCATTGTTCGAATCCTCCTGGGACCAAGTGGAATTGAACAGTGGGGAAATGCTCCCCATGCCTTGCAAGATTGGGATAAACCAATCTAGAGAAGGAGAGGGCAGGAAAGACTGGTGCTTCCCGCAACTGGTGGGGCATCATGGCGGCAAGTGGTGAGCAGGGACCACCCGCAGCAGCAGCCCATGGTGATGGTGAGCAGGGACCACCTGCAGCCACCGCCTGTGGTGTCAGTGGCAGGAGGGTGGGGGTGGCGAGTGGGGACCTCATGCAGCCACTACCAGTGGCCCATCTCGGAGGGGCACATGCCTCCTCTATGTGTCGCCTATGGGAGAGAGTCCAGCAGAGGGTGGCAAAAATGGTGAGAGGGTTGGGGCACATGACTTCTGGAGATGAGACTAATGAAACTAGACTTATTTATTCTGAAGAAGAGGAGACTGAGGGGAGACAATAGCAGTCTTCAACTACCTGAAAGGGGGTTCAAACAAGGATGGAGCTGGGCTGTTCTCAGTGGTGGCAGATAACAGAACAAGGAGCAATGATCTCAAGTTTCAGCAAGGGAAGTTTAGGTTAGATATTAGGAAGATTTTTCTCACTTAGGAGGGTAGTAAAAACACTGGAACAGGTTACCCAGAGAGGTGGTGGAAGCTCCATTCTTGGGGGTTTTCAAAACCTGGCTAGACAAAGCCTTCACTGGGATGATCTAGTAGGGGCTGGTCCTGCTTTGAGCAGGGGGTTGGACTAGATGGCCTCCTGCGGTCCCTTCCAACCCTAACTTTTTATGATTTCTAAGGCCCGGGGGTCACCTGGCCCTGCCCCTCTCATAGACTGAGAGGACAGGAGAGAAGCACCCTGGAGTGCCTGGTGTGGAATGGATGGAGGATTTGTTGCACATCTCAGTCCACTCAGTTCCTAGAGCCTAGGAGCTGAGCAAAGGAGAAGCCGCTGCTGTTTCCCTGCCCATTCCTCATTGGGCTCCCCAGTGTGAGGAGTGAGTGGAGTGGGCCTTTGCCCCATTGCTGGACCCTATGCTTTCACCAGACTAAAATCAGCCCAGTCTGAGGAAGATGTGGAGAAGGGGAGAGGGGGCAGTTGCAGGCTGTGAGCACTTGTATTGCTCCCTCTCCTAGGATCATTTCTAACGGTTGAAAATTTCCATTTCTAGAAATGAATGCCTCCTCATGGCCTTGGTTCCAGGGCCTGGAATCTTTTCCACATCATGTCTCTTGATTTGAGAGTCCATGTCTCTGAACTGGGAAATCAGTCTGAACAAGGCTGAAACTCTGCTTCTGCATTTTTCATTTTAAACTTTAGGTTCATTAGACCAGAATCTCTACTCGTTGAGCGATGGGTTTTCTGAAATTCCTTTTAAAATGTTGCAGAACCCAATTTCCAAAAAAGTCATTGCTCTACCTTTCTGCCTCTGTTAGAGTCCCCAAGTAGACCTCTTTTCTTAAACTGAGCAATCATAACATCAAGGATGGGAGCCTTCTTTCAACATCATTTCCCTCCCCTTCAAGGTTAGGACACCTATGGGCTACTGCTACTACTGCCCTAATACTTCAAGTTCACATGGAAACTCTCCCTCCCTGAAGCCTGATAAAGCTGATGGGGATAGGGCTGGAATCTCCTCAAGGAAGTGAAGGCTGGGAGAAATGAAGTTGCCTAATGCTTAACACAATGGCATGTGGTATTCAGATTAGTGCATCCAGATGTTTGTAAGAGAATGCAAGATGGCAGTGCTTGCTACTGTAGTGATCCTTGGATCTAAAGTGGTCTACTTAACTCAGACTGCTCCTAGTTGTAATACATCTTTGTTATTACACCTCTTGGTAACTCATTTCTTCACCTGTATTAGATTCCCCTTAAATTCATGCATGCTAAGCCTTCTTTTACTGCCAGGTTTAAATTTTTTTCATGTCTCTAGTTTTTATTAAGCTTACAACATTTGCAAGGTAAGTGCTGGGTCAAAATACTCTTTGCAGTACTCTTGGCCTGTCTCTTCAAGGAATAAGATACCAACATACATCTGTTAGCCAGGACAAACAGGACAGGGTTTGAACTGCAGCCCAGTACAAAGCCCCCATCTTTTTCTTAGTGTTTAAGACAGACCTGGGAATTGTGCATGACTGAATGGGGTTGAAGAGCCTGGCACCAAGACAAAAATTTGTCCTAGACCATTTCAAGCAATTTGGGAACCTTGTAAAACCAGAGGCCTGTCTTGCATCCTACCAGCAATGCCTGTTTTGGGACCCAATTCTTCACTAGTTTATACAGGTATAAGGCCCCTGCCGTAAACACATGCCCATTGAAACAGGGTGCCAAGTTAGGCCCTCAATCTCCACATCCCATGCCCCTTTTGGAGACATAAGGAACAGAGAACATATCCAGTAACGTGAGTATGAAGGGAAATATGAGTGGATATAGTAGCAGGGCACAATCTATTATATGCTTCAGCAAAGGATGAAATTAAAGAACCAGAAAACTCAAGTTCAGTGCACTACGCAGCAGTGGAGAGTCAGTAGTAGCAGTCATAGTCACATCACTGCTGCCATAACTGACCTGAAAGCAACTGGAGTAGCAGAAATCTTAGCATTGACGGAGTCAGCTCTGACCTATATCTGGCTGGATTTTCCTTCCTTGGCACTTATACAAAGTGCATGCAAAATGCTACCATTCCATCTTTGTGCAGCCTGCATAGTTGTAAATCATTACACAAGGCCAAGGAAATCAGACTTTATTTCTTGCACTCTTATCCTCTTATCCCTCAGCTGTCTTAACTGCTGCAGGAAAGATCCTACTCAAGTGGGTGCGGGGAAACATGAAGATGCCTTTGTCACAGCAAAAGCTGCTGTGGAATTTTGCAGGGCAGCCTCCAAGTTCAGCAGGGTGATATGTTAGCATAAACATATCTTTGGTAACTGTTTGTGAAGCAATTTCAGTTGCAGCTGGTGCCTGAAGAAAAATAAAGCTTTAAATTCTAAGAAGAATAACACCACAGTTATGTATTTACTTGGAAGGATAAGCTAGCAATCTAAATAAACTCACTTTGCCACGATGGCTGCTATAAATGCTTTTAATGGAAACCTTCCTTTTTCAGATGGTAATTTTTTTCAGTTTGCAACTCTCTGCCCAGCTTGAGGTTTTGTTACAATATTCAAAAAAACCCTCCTGTTCCCCTACACTCTGAAGGCTCGTCACATACAAGTGGAGAAAGACATGGGGAAAAGAGTCCTCGTTACCCAATATGGAATGAAGAATGACTGCACTTGACATCCCAACCCAGTATAATTATTGCAAGAAAACGTTGCCTTAAAAAAATTCACTTACATCAGTTTTTCTGCCTTAAAAAGAAAAAAGAAAAGATCGATCAATCATTGCAAGTTATCCTGGCAAGTGCCAGGATGAAATAAGTTTCCACTTCAGCAAATATATTTGATGATAGGCATTTCTTAGAATGATCACATTGACCACTCAAGACCCCTTTTAAAAGGTTGTGGTCAGTTAGATTTATGTCCTCTAAGCACAAGAAACTAATAAAGCATCTGTAGCCTTTCTTTTGGAAGTGCATATTTCAGTCCCAGTTTTGCACATCTAGACAATGCATTTCATATTTATTGAATGATAAGCCCTTGAAACATCTACAATTGCTTGTGCAAATTCAAACATAGAGCCCCACCTTTGTAATGTCACAGTTAAAATATTGCCCAGGGTCATTTACAACACTTATTTTCACTTGGCTTGGAAACAGTTGACTTATTCAGATACTCCTGGATGTAGTAACATACAGGCACTGGTTTTGGGTACCTTGTTTTCTCATGCCCGACCCAAGGTAATTTGTGCCTAATTTTCAAAGTCACCAGGGAACTTCCTTTGAAGTTTCTGGGAACCACAGTCAATGATATTAAGGTTATTGTGTGCAGATTAAGGTAATCATCTTTTGATTTAAAGATAAGATTAAGGAGCTGTCAGTGTTGGCCAAAGTTTGGACAACACTGAATATTCTTGAACATTGCTTAGGCCAGTGGTTCTCAACCTTGTTGAGACACAAAGCGCCTCTCATTAGACTTAAGACACTCCTTGGAAAAATGCCAGCTCTTAGCTTTCACTTATTTTTTGATTATGGAAAAACAATAGAGCAATTAGTATTTTGCAAAGAACTCAGACCGACCACAACAGGTCAGACTGTTGTTTGACACTATAGATTCCCATTTAAAATCTCTAGGTTTATCTTGTGAATCATTTGTAGGGATTTGCACACCTAACAGTGCTAATATTGCATGAAATCCTGTGGCACCCTTAAAAGGATCTTGTGGCACCCCAGGGTTGCACAATTGGTTGGAAAAAAAAAAATCACAAGTTTAGGCAATGGGAACACTTATAGCACATAGCCTGTAGAACAGCTTCACAGAAGTCTACTTACATATTCTGCTCCTGCTGGTGGACCACTGAGGGCTCCATTGGTTGAAGCAGATGGCTTACTTGTACCCGCATTTTTGTCTTGATGCTTCCCTTCCTCCTTGGCACTGCCACCTTGGCCAGGAAGTGCAACTTCGCCAACTCCCAGAGCATCATTTTTATATTTCTTTACAAAGTCTTCCATCAGCTTTATCTCATTTTCAGCAAGGCCACGGCAGTGAGACGGATCCTGGTCATAAATAGGAAGCTGTCTAATCAACTGTCTACGACGGTAATATGCTCCTTCTGTGCCTGCTATCGGCTGCATCTTCTTTGGAATCAGTTCCATGTACTGCATAGCCTGAGTTAGGGAAAAGGAGTACAAGGGTATTATCAAGGTAATGATCAGTGCTTAATATGCAGAAGCATTAGCTCTCTGCCTGCATCTGCTGTCCAACAAGATGCTCCCCTGCTTAGAACTACTGATCCTTTGTTCAAATGTATGCTCTACTTTGATACACCAAAACAATCTTTGCTTAATTTTAAGAGCTAAATGGATGAACTTGCTCTGATGGAAAAATCAGAACTAGATTGGCTGTCTTCCAGATAATCTTTGGGGTTTCAGAACATCAGAGCTGCTCAGGTTTCTTTTCAGTTTCATGCTGACGTTTGAATGAGTTGTGAAGACACGTCTAAAGCTTGATTTCCACCTGCCCTTCACCACCTCTTAATATTCCACTCCCCCTAATAGTACCAGGTACCACCAAATTTGTATTTTCTCTCAAATGATGCATATTGGTGGCATTCAGGAGCAGAAAATGCTATGTTACAATGACTACATAATCAATAGACATTCACAGGTATAGAGTGCCAAGTGCTTTATAAAATGCCATTCCATTTTATAGAGGGAGTATCTAAAGTACAGAAGGAAGAAACAACTTGTCCAAGGTCATTTAGGCAGGCAATAGTCAAGCTGGGATTTAAAACCTGGCTCTGCATTCTAGGCTACTATCCTTTCCACTTGGCACATTCTTCTGCCCTTTCCTGAGTTTTTGAATCGTCCAGTCATTAAGGTAAGGGAAAAAAGAAGAAACAGGAACATATTCAAGATTCCCAAACACTAATAGATTAGGGTAAGCATGGAAGCTTATCTAAAAATTAAAAATCCTTTAAATCAGAAGCAAAGATTTCCTTCTGAAACCCCTTCCCTACTGAAAGAAAAATCCTGAGCCATATGTTTTTTGGCTTCAGAGATATTTTTTCCCTTCAAAAAGTTCTTTGTCCAAGAGTAATATCCGCAAAGTATAACATTTAACATCATGACAATTCACCCACTCAAACTGAGAACTCTGCCTTGATCTTTAACTTTACAAGAGCGATTAGAGGAAATGAAGTATGTTCTCAACTAGATGATAGATCAGTAGTTAAAAGGAAACAGAACTGGGGGTTCACCTCTGTACACAACTGAGAATGTACGATTTACTGCTACAAAAGGCTCAGTATTCATGCTGTAATAATTAGTCTGTTTTCCATTCTAAATAGAAGGAAAATAATGAGTTTGTATGCATCTATGTGTGGGGGCAGCATACAAAGGTTTAGTAGGAGGGAATTTTATTCATACTACTACTTATTATTGAGGCCAGCTTTTAGCTTTTCAGCTGTTCCTGAATCCTGAAAACCACAATACCAGCCAAAAGCTTTTTCCCATCCTGCATTTCTCTGAGCCAAGTCGTTCCTCTCTATGCAGGTCTTGCCACATTTACCCTTGCTATATCAGATCATAACATGCTCCATGCAGGGCTACCCTCAAATGCTACTTAGAAACTTTGGTAGTATAGAAAGCAGCTGCCCATCTATGGCTACATCCAGCTCCCATTGCCTTCAGTAGGTGTTGTATCAGAACTGTAATGTTAGCTATCGGGAAGCCAACATTTTGGGTTCCCATACTTCTCTCATGACCTGCTGGCTTGTTAAGACTAGAAGGAGCAAAAATCTCCCAGAAAACATAGTTGCATATTCCCACTTTGGTAGAAGTGGCATGCCAAGAAGTTTATATCTGTATGAATCCATTTCTTTGAGCCAAGAAAAGCTTTAAAATAAAAAAAAGGGAGTACTCGCTAACGGGAAAACTGATTTAGGTGAAAAAACTATTCAATCTGTATTGTCCTCCTTCTCTTGTGTGGGAAGTTGCTGGTCTGCCTTTTTATTTGACTATAAGTTCCAAGTGCCATGAGCTAGAATATGGCCACAGCAGGTATAAAATGCTAACAAGAGTTGTGTGACAAATTTGCTGCCCATTTCTGAGCTATTGAGAAAGTGGCCACCAACAGCTAGTTGGCTATTGGCCATTATAAATGAACACATCAGAGGCAAGTCTAGTATATGACCAAAATCTACACCTTATAAATCTGAAGGATTGAATAGCCAGCACTTGGGCGCTATGTTAATAAGTTTGGGTTTTTTCCCTTAAACTGTTACGAGGAAATTACTTCAAGCTGTAGATGCAGTCAAGCAATCCTTTATTTTCCCTCCTCTAACAAGAGGGAAGGACCTGTAAACCAATAGGCAGTCACATGACTGCTTAGTCTACAGCTTTAAAATTGATAGCCATTAACATTATTGTGCTACCGAGTACCTCAGAGGGATGACTTTTACCAACTTGATTTTTCGTTACTGGGGGGCAGAATTTCAGAAAGGGTAATTAAGAACACTTATGGTTCCTCTAATGAGAAGAATCCATTTGTTGCCAGTTGGCCACTTAATTGGAGTCATAAAAAGAAAGTCGTCCTAAGACAGGCTTGTCCCACCCTAAATTAACACTGGAAGGAGGATGTAGTCTCTACAGTTTGCTTGTTTCTGGCATGGAGCTTAAAGGAAAGGGAGTTTCCCATTGGAGGCCTTTTTCCTATTATAGTGTGAAGAGCTAATGGGCAGCCAGTTGACTGTTTGCCATTCAGTTTTAAAGACCAGTGTTCAGCTGCATTGGATTTGCTTCTTATTTGGTCAGCATCTGCAAGCTGAATAGTAATACAATGGAGAGACTATGAACCATTTACTGTTGATCTTGCAGAGGTATAGGAAAGTACAGAATATTAAACTCTGAACAACCAATTAAAGTTATAAAAACCCCTGTGTAAGTCTCCTCTTCAGGCATCTTTAGAGAGATGAAAATATTCTGTAGGCACTCGGCAGTCACAGTGGAATTTCATACCACCAGTCAATAAGTGGGTATAAATGAAGAAGATATGACCTCAAAGTGAAAGGCCAAATTCCCCATTTACTTCCATAGGGTCTGAATTTCTCATATTTTTGGAACTGGTTACAAATGGTGGCATTTATCCATCAAAGTATGCCTATCCAGTCATAAGGCAAGTGGATAGGTAGTTACTTTGGCCCATAACTTACAAGTCCTCAAAAAGTTGTATTTAGAAATAACAGGTTATAACATCTGGTCATTCATCAAGGATCAAGAGAAACCTCACCATGACTTCCACACAAGAACAAAAACAACCACTGGTCCAGCCTTCAGGAACATTTATTGTAATGTAAGTCAAACTAGAGTGATATAGCAACTGTACTCTAAGAGAAATTCATGTATCATGTAGCTGTAACCTCCACAAAAATAATAAAAAAGAATAGATTGTCACAAGGTGACTGCAGAGTCCTGGATAGTGGGGAGAAGAAAAAAAAGGACAAAAAAAAAAAAAAAATCAGTGCTGTATAGTCACGACTGTTAAGATCATCTGTTGACCTAGTCTAGCTACAGAAAAAATAAAACAACTCCACACCCTGATGGCAAACAAAGCAGTAAAATTTCTTCCTTACTGGAAGAAATGCCAAATTTAATAAATGTGCCAAAACTAATGTACTCCTATAGCCATGGGAGGAATACAAAAATTCCAACCTAAGACATCTTATTCCACCCCAATGCCAGCTGCTAGATTTTATTTTAATGGAAAAATGTTTGCAGGAAGCAAAAGAGGGGAGGGCAAGATCACAAGCCTTTCAAAACCACAGCATAGCCTTCCTCAGTTTGGTACTCTTCAAGATAGGGGGGATGAATTTTTGTGCTCCTAGATGTGTCAACTGCCTCCTAGATTGTCTCAATTTTGCAACCTAAGGGCAAAACCAGTGAGGAAAAAAGGGGGAAAAAAATCACATCTGACACTTAAAACTGAATTGAGTGGCAATAAAAAGTTATGTCTCTTTTTCTGCCATTGTGCTTTATTATGTACTGTCAAATGTTTTATTATGTTGCCTCCACTTGGATAATTTTGGACAAGAATAGTTCCAGTTTTCACCACCTTAACTACCGATTTCCTCAAACAGTTATTTTATGAACTGTTCTCTTTAGTTTCCACTGGGATTTTGGATATCAGTTTTATAACTTCTCCAGATGCAGCTCATTGAAAACAAAGCCTGAACTTCCTTCCATTACTAAACCATCAACTTCAGGGCAACAATATTATGTTTGAAAAAAAAAAAAATCCCCAAGTTTCCACTTTGGTCCTCAGATGGGAAATGACTAGACCTGGTTAGTTACTCAGTAAAGACTCTACTGGCCAAAATCCCCTTTCAAACTGTTCCATTCTTTTTAAAATAAAGTTTTATTGGGGGGGAGGGGTTGCAAGTCTACATGTGCATTAATGTGCGGTTGCAACTGTGCATTAAGTTTAGTACTTCTAATATGAGGTACTACATGAAGATGCAGTAGCCAGTGCTAATGCACAGTAGAAACTGCACAATCTTTTTGCGATGCTTAATGCACAGTAGACTAATTCTACTGTACATTAGCGCATTAGCACGGTTTTTGCTGTGGTGTGCTAATGCGCAGTAGAATTAGTCTACTGTGCATTAAGCATCTGATGTAGATAAGACTTAACTAGAACTATTTTTTTTTGTTTTAAAAGAAAAACATGAAAGTTATTTTCAAACTTAATGAAGTGTTAAAAATAGTATTTTTCCCCAGAAACAACAAAAAAATATTGGGATCTAAGGGTGTGTGCAGACAAAACAGGGGCCCTAAATTGAAGCGGTGGGTTTTAAAAAATACCGCTTCAATTTAGGGATGATTAACCCCCTATGTTGTGCTCACACCCTGCTGACTTACCTGCCTCTCCAATGAGGAGGGGAGGATGAGCTGCCAGGGGGCAGAATGGTCCCTGGTCTGCGGAGGGGGGCTGGTGCTTCCCTCCCCAGCAGCGGTGGTGCCCCCCCAGGTAGCCCCCACCTGCAGGCACCTGGCTCGAGCGGTCCTGGGGGCACCACAGCCGCGGAGGGAAGCACTGGGCCCCTGTGCAGCTCAGATAGGCAGACAGACTCCAGGGGGAGAAAAAAAGATCAGGCCTCACTGCTTTTCTGGGGTGGAGCCTGCTTTCCCAGGCTGCTGCCAGGCTGTCTGCAGGGCTTCCTACAAAGCTATGGAGCTGCATGGAGCCTGGTGCTTCACTCCACGGCTGTAGACACAGCAAACCTAAAACTCCTTGAAGGAGTTTTAGTTTGCTGCGCCCCAAGTCATTTAAGGTGCATTATGCCACCGAATTTCCTATAGTGTCTGGAATTAATGTGCAATACACCGCTGAGGCGTGCAAACACCGACACCATTAAAGCGGTGCAAAAGCATTTAGCCGACTTTAAAGTGTTGTGCACACACGCCTCTCATTTTGTCTACACACAGGCTAAAGCATGCTTTAGACTGTAAAAAGCAGAAACACAACCATTTTTAAATCTTTAGCCTGCCAATCCCACAAGAACCTCACACCCTGCACTTGAGTTGCAAGTCTGAACTTTAGGGTCAAACAAGTTTACCCTGTATGATATTCTCCAAATGCTCAATTTTGTGCACATAACTGCAGTAGTGTAAACACATAATTACAAGTAGGCAGGTCTTGAGGTTCAGCACCAGGAAGGGCAATAGGGCTTGGAGCTAAACAGGGACTCCCATTGAATGAGTAATTGAAAAAAAGGGTGGGGATGGGGAGTCACACACTCCACCCTCGGCAGTGTAGTGCAAGTAGTAGAGTTTGCTAGCTAGCCTTCATAGCGTAAACAGTAGATTTCTGGTAAATCTGAGATGGGCGGTTTGCTTAATAAAGCATGTTGCCTTGGAGAATTGCCATTATTGTTCTCCGGATCCCCCAGCAAGCTCCCTATCTCCCCCAGGGACCTGTGAAAGACAAATACAAGTTAAACAAACATTCCAGCTCTATTAGTTCTTGCAAAAGAGTAGGAGCACAAGGGAGCTACCAGTAGTAGCTGCATGCTTAAATAGTCAGACAGTCGAATAAGTGGGATTCTTAGTCCCTTATTACAACAGAGTGCTTACTCTGTTTTTAAAGACAGAATTTGGTTACAGAGTTGCTTGATTCCAACTGAATAACCACTTCTGTTTTTTTTCCCTTCCATGCCAGAGACTTGAAGGGAGCTTAGTTTCAAGATAAATACCAAGTCTGCCTCACTGATTTGTTAAATCATGTAATTTTATACTTGCTTCTAAATCCCTTTTGAAGCATCGGACACATTTTTGGAACAGCCTAAAACATATCCTAACTTAATTTAAAGGGAAAAGCATCTACAGAAGAAACACTGCAAAATATATATAGTGTTTATGCTATCTCACCCAAACAAATGACAGTTACAAACACTCTAGATATTTCTGTATTGTCTTATTTCCAAGTTCTCAAAAATATCCTTCCATAAATGCAGTATGTTCTAGCCAAGAACAAATACTGGGCAGAGGAAGGAATGTGCTTTCAAGACTTGGGGACTTAGATTTAAACAAAAACAAAACAAAAAGAAAAACCCACCACAAATCCTGGTGATATGGAACTTTTGCTATCTATTCTTTCTGTTTCTTACAGACCTCAAAAACAAGCTTAATTTCCATTTTTACTTGGCCTAGACTATGTTTCGCCTAAAATAAAAGTCTCAGTTTCAGTGCTGAATGTGATAGTGGTTATTTTGGCAGTCAGCGTATGCAATAGACATGAGAAGGCTTAGAATTGATACAACTGGATATCAGATAATAGCAAATGTTCCTAGCAACTGATTTATAAGCTTAAAAGGGTAGATAGTTTATATAGTCCAGCCATGCTTCCATATTCAGCTTAATCTTTTTACATTTTTTCCCCGCCTTGTGAAGGAAGTAGGAAGAGGAAAACGGTACGTTTTGGGCATGTCTACATGTCTCTGTACTGTGACGTTGCTATAGTGCCATGCTTTAGTACTTCCTTTTGGCAGTATGGGCAGCAGGGCTGAGCAAAGCTTCAGGTGGTGATTCGGCCCGATTCGGTGGCCAAATATCCAAATCTGAATTAAATCAGGGGACCAATTTAAAGGTCTGAATTGATTCAAAGCTCCTGAATCTTT